GGCTAATGGATGCTGACAAGGAGGTGGAAATCTGGGGCAAATCTCTAAGCCATTTCTTCCTAATAGTTCTAAGAAATATAAATTGATTTCTAATGCTTTTCTGAGAATTCCCATAGGAAGACAGCCATCTTTTTTCCCTGCTACCAAACCAGTGGTGCAAACACACAGGTCTATAATTCACATCCCCAGGAGAAATCTCCATAAATATTTTCCTAAAAACTGGGTAGTATGGCCCTGCTGACACCTTGGTTTTGACCTCCAGTCGCCAGAATGATAAAAGGATATGTATCGGGTGTATTAAGTCATTTCTTCTGCGGAGCTGATACACTAAATTTCACCCAGCCCACCTGGGAGCTAAAGCAAGAGGTTGGCTTGTTATACACATGGGGTGCTAGCTGCTCTGGAGAAGCAGTGTCCTGTGAGACTATGACATCAGAGAAATTGTCTGGATCTACAGAGAGAAAACTTGGGGTGCAGTGGTCAGCTGTAAGGGAGAGCACCACAGCACCACGTCTGATAATGAACCTCATGCAGGTGTTCCTACAAGGTGCCTAGCTGACGGCAGGTGGTATGACATCAAGGGACAGTTTAGTAGGACCCTGTGTGGGGACCAAATGAAAGAGAGCATGCCACTGTCGACTGGGAGCAATAAAAAGGACTTAAATGCTCTAATGATCATACCCAGTGCATGAAGTGAAATGGATGAACCCCTAAAAGATAGAAACTATCAAAACTGCCACAAGAAACAAGTAATCTAGACCTGAAACACATGAAGAGATTTAACTAGTACTTTCTAAAAAGGGACGATCCATTTCACCCTCCATGGATGGACAATGCTCCTCCCAGAAGCCATAGGCTATTAATGAAAAGTTCTAATGCCAGGTGTAGATAGCACCCTCTGCGTTGTTGGCCAAGCGGGTCCCAAAGGCCCCTGAAAAAAAATCGAGGCTATTACCATTGTTCTTGGTTACCCATTGGAGAGTAAGACCCTGTGATCACTGAAAAGACCACTGGCATTGGTCACAGGACATAGCAAAATCAAGCCAGGGCCGAGCTGGGTGTCCTGTCCTACTGGGTAGCTTTCATAGTACCATAAAGAGCCGTGTAGACTGTTGGAGGGGGGCAGAGGCATGATCAACAGTCTTAGCCAACTACAAATCCTGAGAGCTACAGTGATGGACTGCCGGGAAAGATATGCTAATGGGTACAATATTGGTATGGCTGCTGTAAGGGTAACCTACTCTGACTGATCTGAGGCCCTCTGCAAAGGAGAAAATGTTTGTCTGCTTCTGAAATCCCATCAAGAGTCTGTGGCTTGGGAGGTCAGAGGCCCTACTGGGGAACTATTGCTTTGCTACAGGGTCCCATTGTCAAACCATCTTCGAAATTCTCATGTTTATCCCCATAGATGAATGCTGCACCCAGCCTTCATCAGGAAAATCCTTTTAACCACAGTGGGCAGTGGTGAGCACAGAAGTTCCTCTGTGAAGGTGGAGTGCTCAGCCCCAAACGGAGTCACAGTATCACCCCCACCAAGGGTCAGAGAACATCACAGAAGAGGAAGCAGGAAGAATGCAAGAGCCAGAGGATGCAGAGATGTGAAGCAAAAGATGTCTTCTGGATAGGGTATAGCCATTGCATTCAGAAACTGGCTGACACAGTGATTATCTGAACAAGACTGCAGGAGGCTGGGCCCAATAATATTCCCTCAGGGCTGTGGGAGGGGCCCATGAGTCTCCACTTCTTCCTGATGGACAAATGGAAGCTAATAGTTGCTGGGGTAGAGGGTGTCATTTTCTTCAGTGGTGTAGCCACTAAGAAGTTACCTTTGCTCCAGTAAACAGGCCCCACCCACATGCATGCAAACATCTCTACTTAAACTCAGTGGGTCACAGACAAAGGCAGGAAAGCAGGAGAAGCTCTTGCTAGAATAAGGGTTTCAGGAGGAGAGAGGTGGGGACCAGACAGGGCATGGGAGGTTGAAAATGACTACCACTCATGTGTGAAACTATCAGACAACAACAACAAAGCGTGTCTGTAAACAGGCAGCAAGACCCAGACAGCCTCCTCTGTTTAAAAAAGACCTTCTTTACTGTTCAAGCATTTTCAGATCTTCATAAACTCTTTAAAACAACAGAAGAGAAAAGAGCATTTCTCGATTCCTTTATTGAGGCCAGATTAGTCTGGTACAAAATCCAGATAAAGTAGCGTGCAAAGAAAAACAAACAAACAAAAAACCTAGAGAGCAAAGCCATAGAGAGGACACCCCAGAAAGCTGTATTCCAAGTTCAGGGCTGGGGGCTTGTATGTCTTAGGCAATCTCCATAAGACTTTTCTCAAACTGTTTTCTGTTGTTGTTGTTGTTGTCTTAAATAAAGATTACACAGCAGATTTTGAGCTGTTTCTGGCATTAATCTGGAGTACAAATATCTTGCGCCCCTACTCTGCCAAATTTCAGGGCAGCAACGAGAAAAAAGGTATTTTTTTTAAAAAAATAAAAATTAGACGCTATTTATATATTGTTAAGAGAACAATAAAAACTAGAGGAATTGCCCATACTGAGATTCTGTAAGCAAGGTCCAGTGAAACCACCAACCTAGGCCACTCCTTGGGTAGGGGATAAACTGCAGGGATGCCTCGGAGCATAGAAACAGCAGCTTCTTGGGAAAACAAGCAGATTTTTGTGATGGTCAGCAGGTGGGGGTTTCTGAGCCAATACAGGCTGCAGCAGCCTACCTAGCAAACGGGACTTATTATTAACTATAAAATGCTTGGAATTAGCTTGGGCTTGTCCCACTAGCTCTTCTGACTTCATTTAACTGGTTCCTATTAATCTATATTTGCCTCAGGTTTCTCTTTATTATTATTATTTTACCTTTCTTTCATACTGCAAGTCCTAGTTTCTGGCTTCCTCCATATCTGACTAGCTGGCCTTGGACGTCTTCCTAGCATCTCTTTTTTGTTTCTTCTCCGAGCCTAAATTCCTCTTCCTACACACTCTCCCTGATGGGAAGTTCCACCTATACCTCCATCCTTGCTAGTGGTTGTTCAACTTTTTATCAAACCAATCAGGCAGGCAAGGTAAAACACCAACACATCTTTACGTAAATAAACAAACGCAACACATCTTTACATAGCTGAACAAATGAAAAACATTTTCGCATAGTTAAATGAATATTCTGCAACAATACACCTTCAATCCAGATTTTTTTTTTTTTTGAAATGGGAAAACCCACCTCTAATCTGAGCCATATCTTTTTCTGGAATCCTATATAAGGACATGGAAGAAGGAAGCTTTTGCTCTTTGCCTGCTTACTCTCGCCTTGTTAGCAAGTCCATTCCTTCACTGGCAGTAGAGCCTACTTCTTTGGAATTCCAGTGTATACTGAAGACCAGCTGAGACATCCTGCCTCATAGACTGAACAACTACTGGGTTCCTGGACTTTCTGTTTATAGGTAGCCATTGTGGGATTGGGTGGGCCACAGCCTGTAAGTCATTCTAACAATTCCCCTTTCTATATATAGAGAGATTCATTCTATAAGTTCTGTTACTCTAGAGAACCCTGACTATAATACACTGTGGTTTTTAAATGTGATTTTTTTTATTGGTTTTGGGGGTTTTAGAAAGAAAGTCTATGATGAAAATACACTGTGTGAAAAATTAAATAAATTTAAAAGGGGTAGGAGAGATCTAATAGTTAACCTCTCCAATGCAAAATTATTCCTCTCAAGATCCTCAAACAGCCTTTCCTTTCTTCTGAAATCATTCTTGGCATAGTAAAGAGAAAATTCAACAAGTAGATTTTCAATCTCTAGTTTGCCTATCAGGTTAAGAAAAATACGAGGAGAGTTATATTAATAGTTCCACGGCCGAGCATGCGCAGTATGAGCAAGGCCAAGGGGTCAACCCCCAGCACCTCCATTTCTAAATTACTTGAACCAAGCCGTTAACAAGGGTTGTATTGTTTACCTGATGATTTCTTGTTCCTTTTTTTTTTTTTTTTAATGTCTGTTTGCTCATTGACTTCCGGCTAGCAAGACGTTGGATTGAAGAGATGGCTCAGAGAGTAAAAGCAGGACCACTCCGCCGGGAAGAACTCCCAGCCCACGTTGAGTGGCTAGCAAGAGCCAGTAACTTCAGTCAGTAACAGGCGATCCAATGCCCTCTTCTGGACCCCACTGGCACTGCACTCATAAAAATGCACAGCCCCACACCCGCACTGCTCCAGCAATTTTAAAAACATCATCAACAAAAAATAGTGCAGTTTTTTAATGAATAAATAAAGAGCAGAATGTGCCGATTGTGCATAAGAGCTAGCCAGTGCACCCAGGAACTTGTCAAGTAATTTCTTTACTGCTATTTGTAGATTACAATCTACGTGGTGGGAATATTTACTTGGCTGAAACAGCAAACACTACACAACAGGACTTCCCGTCAACCTGCAAAGTTCCAGGGCGCTCACACGCACTCCAGTGAGCAAGCCCTCAAAAAGTTTATCTTTCCACCTGAGGTGTGGAATACAGAAACTACCGCGCCTAGAACGAAGCTGCTTGCGGTTGATGTAATTGTTGCAAAATCACGTAGACGCTATTGCCGAATATAGTCAAGACAAAAGTAGTACCCCATGCTGATGTTTTGGTGGACACCTTTTCCTCTTTAGATATTGATTGCAAGGACTGCTGAGTTGCGCACCATCAGAGGTCTTAAACTGAAAGAACGCGAGCAGCGCGCCCATCTAGCTGAATCCAGGTCTTGGAAGGTTAACGCAAACGTGCAGAACCGCAATTAACATTTTCAGCATCATTGCGCTATTGCATCGTTTTAAAACCCCGACTAATTTCAATGTATCAAACTAGTTCTTCTCCCGCTGCTCTAAACCCCTCATCGAGGGATGGTTTAAGAGGGGCTGCCGCACTCCGCGTTCAGACCCCACGTCACCGTCCCCCACGCCCACCTCCGGACGCCCCCAGACGAGCGAATTGAACGCTGTGTCTTTAAGGGGGAAGCGGCACTTTTCGTCCGGGACAAAATGTCTGCGAGGAGCCGGGAGGCGAGGGGCGACCATCGCGGTAACGCCCGGGTGAGCACGGCTAGGGCTGGGCTGCGGGTCCAGGGCGGGGGCGTGGCGGGAGGGGAGGGACGCCTGCGGCGCCGAGTGGAGATGTCGAGGGACGCGGGGGACCGCGAGGACATCACAGGGCTGCAGGGGCACCGGGGGCTGCGGTAGTTTCGGGGTCCGCGGGGACCTTAGGGGCGGCTGGAACGCGGGGACCGGAGAGACCGCGGGTGGAGGCGAGGCGGGGGTCGGGGGGACGACGGGGACGCTTGCGGCCTGAGCGCTGTGAGCTGGGTGCGGGGAGGCCCCGGGGATCTCGGGGACTTCGGGAGACCCCAGGCCGCGCTGCTCTTAGGCGGGAGCCGCGAGTTCCTGCCGGTGATCCTGCCACCCCTGGCTCTGCAGAGGGGCCCAGCCTGTCTGAGCTTCCCAGTTCTCCGTAGTCAGCCAGCTCCGGGGGGGGGGGGGGGGGGGGGGGGGGGAATAGAAAAACCATCCCCTTAAGGTTGCCGTGGTGAAGTCTGACTTTGAGCCCAGACTGTAGCTGTGCGCCTAGCAAGGATCTCCTCCACTTGTGACTTGGTTAATGTGACTTGGTTAATGTGTTCCACTTGTGCAGGGCAGAAAACCGGTGTAAACCAGTATCCCCTCCTCCACTAAGTCACAAACAAAAGAGTTCCCTGATTCCTTCCCAGCACACTGGAGCGGTTGGCTCTGTAAGCCATCCGTGACCCTTCCCAAAGCTTTACTAAAAAGGCTGGCTTTTCTTCTCTTTGGAAGAAAAAAGAAATAAGTACTTGTCATCGCTGAGATTCAGGGTTATGAACAGCTGTTGAAGAATTAGTTTAATAAATTGAAATGACTAGTGTTATTCCTGATTTTTTTTTTTTTTAAGACAGGGCCTCACTGTGTATTCCTGGGTGACCTGGAACTCACCTGTGTAGACAAGGCTAGCCTAGATCTCTTGAAGACTACTTGCCTCTGCCTCCCAAATACTGGGATTAAAGACATGGACCACTCCTGGTGATTCCTGTACTACATTAGTACAACTTTTGACCTCCAAAATAATTCGAAGCAAGTGACAAAAGGTATAGGAGATTGTGTAAAAAGACCAAGAGTCCAAACCAGGTCATTCTCAACATAAAAATCTTTTAAGCTACAAAGGTCTTCAGAGCACGGCATTTTTAAATCCTGTGCTTTAAAAATGATTCCTTTGAAATGGGTGTCTACAAGACAAACTGGATCGCCACTTTTCCCAAGGGAATATATGTCTACAAAATTAATGCAGAGGTGCAATAAAGATCCACTTTAGGGCCTAGTGCTTTATACTTTTTATTTTAAAATGCATTAATAGTGTTTTGCTGACTTTTAGCTAATAGTAGAAATAGCTTAAAACATTAAGGTAACGTAATTAATCAGCTATGGGTCCAGCATATGTTTTGTTTTTTGTTTGTTTTCTTTACAGCCCGTATATTATCTTTTTTCTTATGTTTTTGCACACCCCTTTATTTCACAACACAGTTTACACTTTGCAGTAATGATTTTTACTGACTTCAAAGAAGGATTTCCTTTTAGTCATGTGTATGCCCCACCCTGTGTGTGGATGTATGAGGATACCTATGGAAACGAGAGTGAGTGTCGGATTCCACAGAGCTGGGCCACAGGCAGTTAGGAGCAGCTCGACCCGGATGCTGGGAACTGAACCCTGGTCCTCTGGAAGAGCAGCAAGTGCTCTTAACCACTGAATCATCTCTCCAGCCTCTTTACTGGCTTTTAAGTTCATGTATGCCTTCAGGCTAATGATTCCAGACTAATTTTTTCCAGTTGCCTGGGTCTGTTTATAAGTATATGAATACATGCAGGAAGCTGATAGGTTAGCAGGAAGGGAGAGATCACAGGTGACGGGTGGTAACCTCCTTACTTTAGCTGCTGGGGCTAGTTCTTCTGTTCTGCTTTGATTTAAGCCACTGTTGGATGAAGTAAATGAAAGTGCCATTAGCACCGCCACATAATCTGTGGATTTCATAATCACATCAGTTTCTCAAGCTAGATCCAGGCTCAGTCAACACTTACTTGTTTATTTACTTTGTCTAGCAAGCTGAAGGGATTAGCCTTGACCACAGGGCAAACAGGACTGGATTTTGCTTGTTATTTCCTTCTGAAAACATTTCTGGCTCTTTTGGCCTCCAGCCTGCCCAGTTCTTCTCACGTGTGCAAGCAGAAGAATAAAATAATAAAATTAATTTTCATGGGTCTTTGTAGAATGACCGTATGTATTAAACAAAGCAAGGTAGTTCTGAAATAAAGGTGTACTTCACAGCAGGGGGCTTTAGAGTTACTGGGGGAGATGCTCCAGGGTGATGGCAGGGGTGGGGGCGGGAAATGAGGGAGATGCCCCTAGGGATGGGTGGAGGGGATTTATTGTAGATATGAGAGTGCAGCCAGTGGCATCTAGAAGGGTCCAGGCTGAATGGGGCCATGGGGGGTGGCGGTAAGAAAGAGGGAAGGAGAGAGGAACTAAGAGGCCAGGAGTGAGCCAGGAGGGCAAGAGACCAAGAGACTGGGTAGCCAAAATGGCTGAGGTTATATAGGGATCAGAGACTAGGGGAAGGGAAGCCCAGCCCTTGGGCTGGAGAGTTAGGGTAAGGGGCAGGCTGAGAAGTGTTAAGAGGAGCCCAGGACTCTGTAACAGGTACTGGTGCTGTTGAGAGAGACTGGTGGCCACCCTCCACTTGGATATGTTAAATGGCAATCTCAGCCATTTGTCCTGAGTCCGAGACTTAATATAGTTTCTTTCTCTTTCTCTGTCTCCTTCACTCCATTTATAGGGGCTGGAACTCAGTGATAGAGCCCTTGCCTAGTATGTGTGAATGCTTAGTTCAGTCTCCAACAGCAGAAAAAGAAAACAAAAGAATCACCACCAACAAAAGAATTAATAGAGATAGGTGTAGAAGGAGCTGCGGGCTGCAGCCCAGCTCCCGCACGGCTAGCTTTACACCCGAAATAACAACACACAAATTGTATTCTTTTAAACACTGCCTGGCCCATTAGTTCCAGCCTCTTATCGGCTAATTCTCACATCTTGACTAACCCATTTCTAATAATCTGTGTAGCACCACAAGGTGGTGGCTTATGGGGGGGGGGAGATTCAGCATGTCTGACCTGACGGCTGGCTCCAGAGCGTCTGACCCAGAGAGGAGAGGCATGGCGATTGCCTCACTTCCCTCTTCCTCCCAGCATTCTGTTCTGTCTACTCCACCCACCTAAGGGCTGGCCTATCAAATGGCCTAGGCAGTTTCTTTATTAAGCAATGAAATCAACACAAAACAGAAGACCCTCCCACATCAGATAGGTGCTGTTGTGCCAATAGTGGAAATGTCTGCTTGTCTAATGACAAATTTTATAGTGAAACAAATATATATGTATATATGTATACAGTGTATAAGAAGACCATGTTAATAGTTTTTTTAAGCTTTGCATTTATTTGTTTTTGTGTATGTGGGTGCCCATGTGTATAGAGGTCTAAAGACAATCTATGGGAGTTGGTACTCTCTTTATACCATATGAGTCCTGGTGTTTAAACTCAGGTCATCAGGCCCCCGTGGCAGGTGCCTTTATCTGCTGAGCCGTCTCAATGGCTCCATAATTACAGGTTTTAATAGCTTCTTTCAGCCTCTGGGTTGGTATTAGCTGGCTTTAACTTGATTGGTTGCTAGAACCGAATTTCTCAGGATAGACTCAAATGCAGGGATAATTAATGGGGATCTGTTATCTCCCACAGATCTAGGCTCAGCCCTCCTTCCAGAGAGTAGAGCCCCAGGCGAAGCTTAGCCACTGGAAAACTAGAGGCAAGGCGCCAAGTGGTGCGCTCCCCTTGCCATGAAAGACTTCCAGTTGGCCTTTCCCCCTTGAAATTGGACTCGAGTTCCGTCGCTATATGTCATTGCTAAGTCACTTTAGTCCTAGCAATACTTTCATGTAGCTTGAATGTGTTTAATGTTAAAACAGGAATGCAGAAGTTCCTGTTAGTTATATACTAACAAAGTAGAACTCTTTTAGAGCCAAACCCTGGTCTGATCTTAACCAGGGATATCGGAACTATCGCTGGAAACATCTCATCATCCCTTCCCAGGTGGTGAGGTAGTTACCTGAAGGCAGAGTGTGCTGCTCTTCAGAGATAGTGTCAGCAGTGGGCCCTTGTGGGTCCCTGAGCAGGCGCACAGTGAGATGAGAGAGCTGGATGGAGTAACTGGACAAAAGCAAAATAATCGCATCCCTTGGCATCCGTGTGCCTGTTTTTAAGGAAACATTTAAGAAAAAGAATAAAGGGTGCTCTTGGTTTTCATTTTCTTTCTGTTAGCTACACACATAGCTCTTGGTTATGCATCGTTATTTGGGGCTCGATAAGGGAGAATGAACATCACTTGACTTGGGCTAACCCACCTTCCTGTAGTCTCCAGGACCTGAATGATGAGCAGTCTGTGTGTGTGTGTGTGTGTGTGTGTGTGTGTGTGTGTGTGTGTGCGTGTGTGTGTATGTGTGTGTGTGTGTATATGTGTGTGTGTGTGTGTGTGTGTGTGTATATGTGTGTGTGTGTGTGTGTGTGTGTGTGTGTGTGAGAGAGAGAGAGAGAGAGAGAGAGAGAGAGAGAGAGAGAAGATCCATTTAGGAAGTGAAAATGGATCTGAGGAGCAATGGTCATGAGTCTCTTACCCCTTCTGGTTTCCTTTCGCCATTATGAATCATTAGGAATTCTTCCCATTTTGAATGTCCACCAGAAACAACACTGCTTTTCAGCCACTAAAACCTCAGTGTAGGCGCAGCTGAGCAGGAAATGCTGGTCTCTCCTCTGTATTGCTGGGAGTCAGGCAGCCCCCATCTCGGTCACCCTGTAGTAGCATGTGGTATGCATCCAGTGGATGCACCTGCAGCAGGAGGTGCACAAGTTGAACCCCTTCCTCTTGTATCCCATCGTCTGCTTCCTGTGGGTACAGACGGTGCTGCTGGTGCAAGGCACGGGGAAC